GTATCTTTCCGGCTAACCCTGTCAACTGCTTATTTAAAGCCAATGTTTTTTTGCAGCGGTTGAGATTATTGACTAAAGGGGACCTCCAGGCTTTCGACGCCATGCTATCCAAGATGAAATCTACGACGTCTGCTATTCTTCGGCGATCTTTGAGGACGGCTTCCTGATTGCCTCTTTTGCGATATCTAATTTTAGGCTGGCCTGCGTGCCATGTGAGGCTCGTGGCCTTGTAATGCTACTTATCTTCTTGGTGTTTAAACTTTGTTTGGGTGTTGGCTGATGGTGATGTACTCTGCCTGATGGCTTTATCTATAAAGTCGGGCTCCTGCCTTTTCTCTAAAAAAAAGACATACACTGAACGAACACTGAAATTTTGTGTGTTGTGCCCGTATGCGTACAGCTTTTCCCTTTGATTGATAACAAATTTAAAGAGGTTGTCAGGGCGTGATCGTACCCACGATCATGGTCTAACCCGTGCCATCCCATGGACTCAGATTAGCTGACAGCTACAAGGAATCGACCAGGCCTGCTTCAGCTTCAGCAAACCCATAAGAGCTGAAATGCTTCGCCTCGAACATCCACACGCCCTTGACAGCGTCAAAGGAGGTGAACTCCACACCCTGCTCCTCTGCTTTCTTGACCAGCATCTCCTTGTACATGTCCACCCTCGGACCCTCTGTGTAGTGCTCGCCCGTCTTCCTGTTACCACACTTGATGTTCAAGAGAGTCACCACAGCAGGTTTGTTCAGGCCCTCACCAACCGGGGGTTTCTCGCTATCGTCCTTGTACACAATCACTTGACGGTTATTGAATTGCATGATCGACTCCAGATCAAGGCCACTCACATCAGTTTCCCCCAAGAATTTTACGCTGCCGTAGCCTTGCCGTCCGACAACAAAGTCTCTCACGTGACGGCAATATCCTGGTTCAACGCCTTCTTTGGCTGCAAGCTCCTCTAGACTAGGCTCCATGAAGTAATCTGCCTGGGAAAGCTTAGGCATGAGATTCTCAACAGAAGAAGCATTCACATGCCGTGCACCAGCCTCAGGCTTATTTGATGCATGGTCATGGTCATTGCGGTGGTTGCCGTTATCCACTGAATCATGGTCATTGCGGTGGTTGCTGTGGTTGCCGTTTTTTATGGTCTGTGTAGAAAAACAAAAATATCTCGTGAACAGCCCTTTTTTAGCACTGAAATTTTACCTTTTTTAACGCACGCCATAAAAAAATGTCGGTTTTTTCATGAAACGACTTCGTGAGCGCATAGAACATAGAACATCAAGATCTATATGCGAAATTTTTTGCCCGTATTCTTTTACATTTAAAATGTGTTTAAAATGCATTTTTAAGACCGGGAGCATATGCTCCCGGGTGCCAAAACGTCACCCCCTAACTTTGTATGCCTAACTCGTCGATTCAAGCATTGACTAATTACTGGCTTTCCACATGGACAGCTATATATGTTCTCACGTCACATACAGACTCTTCATCGACCAACCGGCTGGCCAGAAGAAGAAAAAAAAAGGAATTTGTTCAGTTCAGACTAATCATACGTTCTGGTTCCCCATGTATATAGGTCGGCAGAACACATTTGACAATTAAGCATCACCGCGCGTGGAATCAGATTAATCAATCAGACTAACTCACAATTAACACGGGTTGATGCCAGAACTAACTGGAAGAAGTTAATCACCCCGAACAGGACAAACTGAATCATTGACGATCGGCGGCGAGTAAATTAATTGGGTTAGGAGTACGTACTCTGAGGAGGTTGGCCATGCGGAGGAGCGCGGCGTCGAGGACGAGGGTGAGGGTGAGGGAGAGCAGCCTGGCGCCCGTTTTATAGCCCACTCGCGTCCCTGGAAGCTAATTAAATGAGTAATTTGTATTAGTAGGTGGGATATGGAGCATGCTCCGATGCGAGATCTTGATGATGTTATATATGCTGATGATTGATGGAAAAAACACATCACTTCGGAACTAATCTTATTATTAGCAATATACTCCCCCGTTTGTAAATATAAGTCATCTTAAAGGTTCCAATATAGAGTACATACAGAGCAAAATGAGTGAATCTATACTCTTAAATATGTCTATATACATACCTATTTAGTCTATATTAAAATCTTTAAAAGGCTTGTATTTAGGAACGGAGGGAGTAGTTGGAAGACTGCAGCAGTATGCACGCACAGAGATGCGATCAGGTGTGTATACAAGCTGATGGTCTGATTCAGTTAAGAATAATTGTACGTAGATGCTACATGAGAGGATATGCTCGTACGTAGAAATCTCTATGTTGGTCCTTGGGATTTTGTTGGACTACAAACCTCGGTCCATGCGTACAAAGGCAATGTGTCATGCATGTATTTGTCAATTGGCATACCATTGATTTCTTTTCATTTGATAGATCCCTGGACGGTGCCATTTTCTCCTAAGGAGCTATGTGTAATTACTTTTTTCGTTAATGGTGATTACTTATGTTGGTTGACCAGTCTTGGACATTTTGGGCAAAAGGATTAGCGAACGGGTCAGACATCACGAGACGTTACAACAACAACTAGCCAGAGCTGTAACCATATTCAAACAATTTTAAGTTGGCTTCTAGTGTAACATAACAATAATGTTAAAGGCAAGTTGGTTCTTGCGTAGCTGGAATCCAAGACTAGCTCGAATTTTATCATGAAAATTAACGTAGGGACACAAGCAGGCATATGCACCGGACGGAGCTATAATTAGTTAGCATGTGCTAGGTGTGATGTTGTGAACCTTCCTTGATCTATTTAATTTTGGCCGCCACATTGTTCAGTCAACATGACCCCCACATGCACTTTGAACAAATCGGTCACGTTTGTCAATACAACAAATCCTCTATCAGTCCAACTAATCCTCCAAGATGGTGTGCCTACTTGGATGACTGCATGCAGTGCAACTTGGGTTAGCTAGTAGGTACTCCCCTGTCTTAAAATAAGTGTCAATGTAATTAGTGGATGTATATAGTTTTGAAATATATTTAGATACATTCGTTTGAATGACAATTTATTTTGACATGGAAGGAGTATATTTTATTAGTGTTGACCGTCATCTTTGAGGGGCCCGGAAGAGCTAGTTAGCGTGTCTGGGTAAAAATGAGCATTATTGTTCTATGCTACCGACTACCTTGGGCAGGCATGTACGATCTAAGATTGTTTATGGATGAGCTTCATTGCAGCTGACGGTGTTGCAATACTCTAACCCCCTACCCCTTTGTGTTTATTATACTCTATCATTTTATAATATACAAATGTTACGGTGATTGACGATTTTAACAGCCATCCATCCACCCTAATCTACAGGAAACAAGACTTACGAAACTACAGGAAATTACATTTAATGATGGGACTGGTACGAAATTTTGGTGGACCAGTTAGTATTTCAAAGGGTAGATCAATCATTTAGTTTGGAAAATTCCTCACCCGATCCGGTCGTCTCCTCTCATCACAGCCGCAACACTCAATGGCATCGGCCGCCGCTCCTCTTCCCCTCGCACCGTCGATGGGATCCGTTCCTCCTCGCCCGGATATGCCCATCCCCGGACTCCTCCGCCCCTTTGTCAGATCCCGAATACTAAACAGGGAAAATCAGAGGAAACTGAGAAGAACATGAAGGAATCTAAGATCCGGAATTGTATATTTCTACTATAAGATATATGCTTAGGAGTCTTTCTCCTCCTCGAAGGCAAGAGAGGAATGGTTCAACGATGCCTACTCAGCCACAGCCCAGCTTGTTTATAGGCGGACAAGTTACTACTCACTGTAGCGACAACAGAACGTGAATGGTAAAACGGTAAATTGATCCGATGGGGGACATCTTAAGTAATTCCAGTGGCCCGATGGCGACCGTCCGACGGAGCGCAAAACGGTACAAGCTAGATGTCAGTCGTTAACTGAAGATGACACTGCATACTGGGATTCAGATAGTTAACTGAAGATGACACTGCATTCAGGCAAGGCTATACAATCAAATAAGACAATCTAGAAAATTAATTGGTCATCTACTATGCATTCAGGCAAGGCGACCAACACAATGAATTGTTCAAAGTAGTTTTATTCCCAGGAAGTAGGCGAAAATTATAAAGAATTAATATGCCTCAAGCGTTATGGTGGCTGCTCGTCTCACGAATCTGCCTGCCTTTCATGGTGGCCACAGGCAGTGGGGGTGGGGGCCCTAAATTTACCGGGGCGGCCGCCCCTGTTCCCGGGTATAAGTATAAGATTTGCCATGTAGTGCACGCACTGGCAAACAGAACCAGGTTCGTGCTTTTCGTAAAAGAAGAAAGAACCGGGTTCCTTCTTTTACTAAAAAAGATGAATCGGGTGCTCTCTACTCTCTAGCCCCCACGCATTCCTCACTCACTTTTTCTCTAGACGCGCCGCCGTCGCGAGTGACCTTGGCCGCCCACCTCCGGCGCCCGCCACCGGAAGCAAGGGAGCGACCAGCTGCTCCTGCTCGCCGCATCCACCGTTCACCGGAGGAGGTAGGGGAACTCCAGTTCTGTCGATCTTGCCGATCTTTTGTTCCAAGTCTTCAAATTTAGTTCAAAGTTACCAGGCCCCAAAAGGTTCAGTTGGAAGCCTCTCAAAAATAGTTAATCAGTTTTCGGATTTTGGTAATATGCCTCCTCTCCAAATTAGTTGAAAATTTGTCCGGATCTTAATCACAAGCCCGGATTTTTTTAGTCTTTTATGTCAAAAAAAATTCCACAAGCCCCAGCTCCGTAACTCTGAAAGTTCTCGTTTTTTTAGCTGAAGGGCTACTCGGTTTAGATTTAATCCTCTCTAGAATAGTTGAAATTGTTCGGACCTTAACTGAGACTGTCTCTAAATTTTGACTCATAGCCTCTCTAATCCAGTTAAAAATTTCGTTTTTCTTTTGCTGGAGTGTTAAAAGCTAACTAACTTTGAGTTTCCGAGTTTGCAGAAGCTAATTTCGGTTTACGTTTTGCTGGTATTCACAAGGGAGCCATGGAGGTTGCGGCAGGTGCGATGAGTCCCCTCCTCCGCAAGCTCGGCGACCTGCTCGTCGACGAGTACAACCTAGAAAACAGAGTGAAGAAAGGAATCCAGTCACTGGAGACAGAGCTGTCATTTATGCACTCCGCACTCCACAAGGTGGGCGAGATGCCATCTCACGAGCTCGACCCACAGGTCTGCATCTGGGCAGACAAGGTGAGGGAGCTGTCCTATGAAATCGAAGACGCTGTCGATGCTTTCATGGTGCGCGTGGAGGAGGAGGGCTGTCACCATGCTGGCCCAATCAACACCAAGAAGAGAGTTAAGGAGTTCCTTAAACGAGCCACCAAATTGTTCCGCAAGGGAAAGGGTCTGCATCAGATCTCCAGTGCCATCGAGGAAGCTCAAGATCTTGCTAAACAGTTGGCCGAGCTACGTCAAAGGTATGGGCTTGAAATGCAGGGCACGAAGGCTGGTTCTACTATTGACCCTCGTCTGACAGCTATGTACAAAGATGTGACAGAGCTTGTTGGTATTGCCAACCCTTGTGACAAGATGATCACGATGCTGAAGATAGAGGGCGATGAGGGTTCGAAGAAAGGATTGAAGGTAGTCTCGGTCGTTGGATTTGGCAGGTTGGTTAAGACAACTCTTGCCAAAGCAGTGTATGATAGGATTAAAGCACGATTTCTATGTGCAGCTTTTGTTTCTGTGTCCCGGAATCCTGATGTGAGTAGAGTTTTCAAGGATATGCTCTATGAGCTCGACAAGGTCCAGTTTGGGCACATTCATAATGCAAGCATGCATGAAAAGCAGCTTATTGACAAACTACGAGAATTCCTTGAGAACAAAAGGTGCACATTTTCCCATTAATTCTATTTTTTCCTCTTATTTGTTTCAACCAGTTGCAGCCTTTACGATGTCAAGAGCATGTGGAATAAACACTAGATGTCAACTATTTGTATTACTCATTGGACATCAAAACAAGGCTGTATTTGTGCGCGCATCATTTTTGTAAGTCCACATGTTAGAATAACGTTCTACATCTATCAAAGGTTATAGTTTTCGAACACTCCCACGTCACAAGGAGCATTTTGGCAAAGAACTACAGGAACAACTAATTCTGAATTTTCATTTCTATTGTTGTAAACTTATAATAGATACACATGTTGATATAAATTCCCAGGGTTTTTTGCTCTTACTCCAATTTTTTCTATCTGTGCGCACTATCATTTGCTAATGACTTCCCTATTAAAAATGTGCTTATTTCTTTACTGAATTGCCAACTGACACGCTCAACAATTCACGCAGCTATCTCATCGTGATAGATGACATATGGGATGACAAAGCCTGGAAATTTATCAAGTGTGCTTTTTCTGAGAACAATCACTGTTGTCGACTAATCACAACAACCCGTATAGCCAGTGTTGTGGAAGCATGCTGCTCTTCAACTCATGATATAATTTATAGAATGGATCCTCTTAATGATGAGGACTCCAGAAGGCTCTTTCATAAACGGATATTTTCTCATGGAAAAGTGTGCCCTAATGAATTGGCTCAAATATCTATAGACATCTTGAAGAAATGTGGCGGGGTACCACTGGCCATCATTACTATAGCAAGTCTTTTGGTTGTTAATCAACGGATAAAATCAATTGATCAATGGTATGCGTTGCTTAAATTGATCGGTCGGGGACTTGAAGGAGATGCTTGTGTGGAGGACATGCAAAGGATATTGTCATTCAGCTATTACGATCTACCTTCTCATTTGAAGACTTGTTTATTATATTTAAGTGTATTCCCGGAAGATTACGTGGTCGCGCGAGATCGGTTAATATGGAGATGGATTGCCGAAGGTTTTGTCCAAGGTGGAAAACAAGAAACTAGTTTGTATGATCTCGGGGAGAGTTATTTCAATGAACTTATAAATAGAGGCCTGATCCAGCCTGTAGACATTGATATTGATGGAAGGGCGAAAGCTTGTCATGTTCATGATATGGTGCTCGATCTCATTTGTTCACTCTCAATAAAAGACAACTTTCTTACCATATTGGATGGTATTAAGCGGAACAAGCCTAATTCACAAAGCAAGATTCGCAGGCTATCTATTCAAAATACCATGGTAGAACCCACCACCGTTCAGCTTGATACTAGGACCATGCCACAAGTGCGATCTGTTACTCTCTTTCCTTCTGCTATTGATCAGATGCCGTCTCTTTCATGCTTCCAAGTTCTTCATGTATTGGATTTGGAATACTGCGATCTCAGAGAGATTGGCCATAAGATTAACATGAGGTGTGTCGTGAATTTATTACACCTAAGGTATCTAGGGCTAAGAAGTACATATGTTAGTGAGCTTCCGAAGGAAATTGGAAAGCTACAGTTTCTGCAAACATTGGACTTAGTAGAAACTGGTCTAAAAGAGTTGGTGCCAAGTATTGTTCAGCTACAACATCTGATGTGCATACACTTTGATAAGTATACAAAACTACCACTTGGAATGGGGAACCTGACATCCCTAGAAGAGCTGAGTGAACTCCATGTGGACCGTTATTCCTCGGGCATTGTGGAAGAGCTTAGTCATCTCATTGAGCTGAGGGTGCTCCGAATTAATTTTGAAGAATCTGATGAGAGCCAGGATAAAGATTTTGTAGAGGCCCTAGGCAATCTGCGCAAATTGCAAAGTCTAGATATTGATGGTAATGATGGATGTGTGGATCTCCTACGGGAAGGCTGGGTGCCCCCTCAACAATTACGTAGACTGGCGGTGTTGAATGGAAAGGACAACAGGTTCTTGACACTGCCAGCGTGGATTAAGCCTTCATCACTGCCACTCCTCTCATACCTGAAGTTCGGGCCAAGGATGTTCAGATCATGGGGATGCTGCCATGTCTTCGTTATCTCATGCTCGGGGCGTGGCGCCGGATAGAAGAGCCAGAGGCAGAATGTTTCGTGGTTACCGCTGATGCATTCCCATGTGTTAGAGAGTGCATTTTCTTCAATTTTGTTATGGCACCATCATTTCCACGTGGAGCTATGCCAATGGTTCAGCTGGCCCAATTCAGTTTCCGAGCATGTGACATCGCCAATGCTAATTTAGACTTGAGCATCTGTCACCTATCATCCCTAGAGCAAGTCCGTGTTGACCTCTGGTGTAAGAAGGCCAGCACTCGGGAGGTGAAGGAGGCTGAAGCTGCACTTTGGCTCGCTGTGGCTGCCCATCCCTGCTGCCCCACTCTCTATATCAGGAGGCGGTGAAGAAGCAAGAGTCAGGTACTGTACAGATTAATCTTGTAGCATAAATTTTCTTCTTCCTCTTGAATTAGCTTTAGTTGAATGAACACACCATATATATGTATGTATGTATGTATATATGTGTATAATTCTATGCATATGGCTTTGCAGGCTTGCATCTACCTGGCCGTTAGAGATGATTTTGTCGGCACTACTCAATTGTGCGTGCAAGCCTACACACATATCCCCTGTTTGCTGCTTCCAAGCCTTGGCCGTTTTGTTGGTCATCCTCCCAATCTCATCCTCTCCGCCACATTTCTGTTATGGCACTTCTCTTATAAAAGTGTACCTAGTACTAGTATGCTCGGATCCTCCTG